ACTGTTTGACAGTTTGATCTGAGTTTGGTGCGTTGAGCTGGACGGACTCACTGACAATGAGCTGTCAATCACAAGGTACCTAGTTATTAGTTAGTAGGTAGTTATTATTAGAGCCCTTTCAAGTTATAGAAAATCATTTTCAACTAGAAAAAACAAGAAAAACATTTAAGAAATGAAAGAAACTTCTACTAACTCAGAAAGTGAGAAATGTCTCTATTTTACAGTCAATAAACGTCTGGCTCTTGATTTGCAGCAGTACAGAAGCTCCAGTGTTCCCGACCTTGACAGCCGAGTTATTGACTGAACCGTATCAATAAAAGGAATCCGTCATGAGCTCAGACTGACTGTATCGTGCTTACAAGTCACTTCCACTAATGGACAGAGCTGCACAGTCACAGTCTGCAGCAGCCGATCAACACCAACATTTCTCCTGCTGCTTTTATTCTCCCACTAGTCAGACTATTAAAAAAAATGTGTGTAAGCAATCGAAGAACATTTAGAGTTATGTATCAGCTGTGGTTGATTGATTGATGACAGCAGCTCTAGAGGAGACATAGGAGCATGTTTGGCTGCCTGCCAGCAGCTTTATTTAACTCTGTAACTTCAGCAGAGAGACAGAACTGGACTTGATCCAGACTTTACAGGAAACTACTGTAAAACATGCAAACACACCGTGAGTCTATAATCTATAACCAGAGTTAGAAGGTGCTTCACAAAATACAACACAATATGTGCAAAGGTAGCACATAAAACACAAAATTACCAATAAAAAGAAATACAAATTTAATTTAAGAAACAAATGTAGAGATAAAATATAAAAGAACAATAAAGAACTACCAATGAATGAATATTTTACTTTCTCCTTTGTGCCTGCAGACAGTATTCAGTGAACATTAGCAGCTGCTGTCACTTTCACTGGTTAAACTGACAAACATTACCGGTTCAGGGTTTTCCCCAGGAAACTGCTCATCTGCAGTCGTCTGCACTCACATCCGGATTCATCTGCTGATAAAGACCTAAACAAACTCAGAGAAATCTGTAATCTGTGCGTTCCACCGTATACATTCATTCCCCTTTGTGCCAGTCTGAAGCCACATTTCTACCATCCACTGTTCAGATCTTGGTGCTTTTTAACTCT